CACCAGGGGTTATACTGCCCTAGTTCTTCTCAAAAATAGAGGCCAAGGTTTGGAGGATTTCATCCAATGATATAGACTTTTTTAAAATTTAGTTTTTAGATGTCAAAGGTGGCTTTGAAAAAGATACATAAAGTCCAAGAAATAAGGGCAATCAACATGAAAAATAAAGCTGAGGACGGGATGTGCACCTAGGAATGCATGTCATAATCTGAGCCAGATATTTGAATCAGAGCCTCCTAACAGCCAAAGTGAAGAAGGAAAGCAGATCAGTGACAGCTATCCCTAATGCCCTCACTGTGTTATTTGTTCTGATACCAGGAGAACCTCCATCTCTGGAAACTGGAAGGCGAACACAGGCTCTGCCATGCTGGAGCAAGTGGCCATGACAGAGAGGTAAGAGACAAAGGAGGTGCTTATGGAGAGGCAGCAGCCATGGTGGAAGATGGGTGAGGTCTACAACAAAAAGCCTCACCGCCCACAGGTCACCTTCCTAGGCATGGCCCCTCGATTGCCCATATCGAGCTGCAGAGCAGGTATTAGAACCTCATTTTATAGAAAGTTCAGAAAGGGAATGTGACTTGTCCAGGGTCACGTAGCTGGTCAGTGACAGAGCAGAGGATAAAATCCTGATGTCTTGACTCCAAGTCCAGGAGTCTTTCCAGTCCTTGTCAGTCTCTCTCTGCTCTGACCACGTCATGGAAGTGTCCTTATTGGGGCACGAGGGCTATGGGAGTGTCTGCTCCTCTCTCAGACTTATTTCCATCCCATTGTGAGGACAGGTTTCCTGTGAATCATTAAGGTGGCAGCTGTGCACTCTGGCTGAAGGTCCCTCGGGTCTTCTTTAAACATTCTGTGAGCCACCCTCACCTAAAGAAGGCCCAGTCACCTGCTCTCAGGGCCGACAGCACACACACTCTCTTTCCTGCATGCCCAGTGACATACACGTGCAAGCATGCAAAGGTACTGAGCAGAGCTTGGGCTTTGGGGTCAGAGAGATCCGTCCAGTGAACATGAATTGGGTGCCTATTGCATTCCATGTTGTACTGACCACTAAAGAGACCAAAATTAAAAGATCCAACCCTTCCTTTTTCAAAATTCTCTATCAGTTGCAAGTGTCAGAATGCAAATCTGATTGTTTTTAGCCAATGGAGGGAATTGATTGGCTAGTGGCAATGAAAACTCCAGAAGACTCGAGGGCTCACTCTACCCACTTCAGTTCAGCCTTCTTCTATATTGGCTCCGGTCCAGCCAGATCTCTCATACGGTGGCCCATAGTGGCTCCAGGCTTTCATCCTGACAGTGTCCAGTCCAGCAGAGAGAAAACTTCTTTTTCCCAACCATTTCAACCAAAGCCTGGACACTTGAGCCTTATTCACTGATTGGCCTAGCTCAGGTCACATGACTATCCCTGAACCAATGGCTGTGGCTCAGAAAGCTGCATCTCTGTGATTGGACAGACCTATGTCATGTCTGCCCCTGGAGATTGGAGCAGGACCACCCGCTACAGCAAGAGTGACTGAGGGAGACTTAGGGGGAGATGTAACGCCATGGAAGGAAACAAACGTTATGCAGACTAAAATTATAGTCATCCACTCCCAGCTCCCCAGCTAACAAAGGAGACGGAGTGTGGTGATGTTAGGGTGGAGGTGAGAGTTAGGTGCTTGCGGTGGGAGCACAGAGAAGGGGCACCCAACACAGACCAGGGAGGGGCGAGATCAGGGAAGGCTCCCTGAGAGAGGCAGTGCCAGAATCACATACAAATGAGTAGGAGTTCGGAGGCATTCCTTTATTACTTTGTTAGTTATTTGTTCAACACCAACTGGGAGCCAGTTATTGAGCTAGGCCCTGGAGAAATGGTGGCCAGCAAGACAGCCATGGTCTCGGCCCTCATCGAACTTCCGTTCAGGGGCTATAAGCTGAGAAAGCAGCATGAACAACAGTGAGTGGTCCTGCCCCACCTAAGCTGTGTTACCGAGGGTAAGTTAACCGACCTTTCTGAACTTCTCCAGCTGTAAATTGGAGGTAATAATACCCAGCTCTAGGTGCTGATTGAGAGTGATGTTCAATACCTAACCCAGTACTGGCCCGTGGCAGGGAGGGGCGTTGCAGACGGGGCTTCCCTCCCTGCCCCTCAACTCCAGGTGGCAGCTGCTGCCTTCAATCTGGGAACCCACCTGTGCTAACTAGTCTTGGGCAGGTGCGCTCATTACCTGCCACAAGTGAATCATCTGATCTGGGGCAAGCTTATCCTTCTCCCAGTGGGCATTCATGGGATCGTCACGGCCCTTTTCTCCCTGGCCTTTCCAGAATGTGAATCCAGCCTTCCTCAATGCCTCAAGAGCTGCTCATAAATGTCCCTAGCCGGCCACCACGTCACTGACTCTGCTCAGTTCCAGGCCACATGGGCCATCCCTGCAGGAGCTTACCATGGCAGTGGGTCTGCTCTGGCCTGGAATTTACTTTCTGTTCTGCAAAGTCATGGGACAGAGCTCCTCAGTCCCATCTCCATAGGCAGAACATCCCTGGGACCCATAAACAGGCCCCAACCCTTCCCTCCACCCGGCTCAACTGCGTTCCAGGAAGCCTGACTCCCAGGCAAAACCAGAGACATGGTTTGGTCAGTGCAAGTCCTACCCGGCCGGAGGGGAGCGTGGACCCCATGTTCTCCGGTCTCTTCCACACTGCTCCACCCACGAAGTTCTTTCCTTGGCCCTGAGGGGATTGGGGTGCTCTATGCCCCCTGAGGTGCACCCAGTAGGTGACCCGGAATTTTGTCATTGAAAACAACCTCTAGAAATCAGTTGCCTCTGGGCCTACGTACAGACTTCCGTCTTCCATTGAGAAGAAACTTGATTATGAGTGTGTCTCAGGGCACGGGTCTCTCTAAGCTGGAGGTGCCCCGCCAGTCAGCCGCTGGTGCCAAATACGAGGTCCCAGATCAGAGAGTCCAAAGTTTGTCCCTCAATGTGGCTGCATGTGCGACTCACATGAGAAGCTTTAAGAACGTGTGGAGATTATCCTCACATCTGGCTGTTTTTGTGTGTGTTTATTTGCTTAACTCTCCTGGTGCTTCTGCTGCACAACCAGAATCAGACCAAGGCCGTCCCCTTCCTCAGATAAGGAAACTGAGGCTGCAGGAGGGACCGGCTCACCCACAATTATTGAGAAAATGAATAGCGAGAATCCAGGTTGCTGGTCTTTCACGCCGATGGAGAACAGACTGTGATGTGTTCTGACAGAGGAAGGTGGCTTGCTCCGACTATGGAATCAAACAGCATCCAGGTTTGGAAGCCGGCACAGTCCATCATTAACCTCTCCGAGCCTCAGCCTCCTCATCGGTAAAATGAATTCAACCTTCCTGATGGAGTCGTGGCGTTAGAACGAGGACTCAGCCACCCCCAACACACACATGCACAGCACGCCTGGCACATAGCAGAAGCTTAACAGGCATGAGTTTATGGAGTTAGAACGAGGACTCAGCCACCCCCAACACACACCTGGCACATAGCAGAAGCTTAACAGGCATGAGTTTTCATCCTCTCTTTAGTTCTGTGACCTCCCATGCTGCTGCTAGAGCTGAATCAAAGAATTGAACTAGGAGCCAGGAGAGCTGGGTAATCAATCCTGGCTCTATTACCGTCTTGCTGTGTGATCCGGCCAAGCTTCTCTCCCTCTCTGGGCCTCGATGAGCAAGGGCAGATACGATGAGTTGGTTCTAAGAACACTTGGGCCATGATTTCTTCTCACTCCAGGCCTTGTGGCTCAGAGACACAAATAGATCTCAGAGCAGGCATGCCCCGTGTGACCCTGGAGAGTGGGGAGAGAAGCAAGAACAGTGACACAAAGTCCCCTGTGACTCTCAAATCCAGCCACCACAGGGGAGGCCAAGTGCGAGCCTGGGGAGACTTCTCACATACAACCGTCCCCTTGTTGCTGGGGCAGAGTCTAGCGTGGAGATCTTTTCCCTGCAAAGTAAACTGGCCTCACAGCCATCGAGTGGCTGGAAAGAGAACAAAGCAGCAGGTCCAGAGGGCCAGGCCCCGGCCTGGGGAACAGCCCCACAGGCTCCCCTGCCTGCCCACCCCAGGCTCGAGGGAGAATGCGCCCTTTGTCCCCCTCCGGCTCTCATCTAGCCTGGTCGCCGGGGCTGGAAGGGCAGCCGGGAGGGATTTCTGGAGCCCTTGAGCCGCTTTCCCAAGGGAAAAGGGCTGCAGAGGCAGCTGGGGTCCAGGACAGCTCTGGATGGGGGCAGGGCCAGCTTCCCGCTACTGCGGAGCCAGCAAGGTGGGGCTCTGGGGTAGGGCCGGGGATCGTTCCGACTCTTACCTTCCACCTTCCTCCCTCCTGCCTGCCTGGCTCCCTTCCCTCCCTCCCTCTCTCTGTCTCGCTGCCCATCTATGTCTCTGCCTTTTTTCACCTTTTTACACTCCGTCCTTCCCACTGCCTCTCTGTCTCTCTGTGTCTCTGTCTCTTTCTGTCCCTCCGTCTTTCCTGCCACATCTCTGTCTCCTATTACGTCTTACCCTCTCTCTCCATCTCTGAATGGGTTCCTGCGTGTCACTGTCTCTCTTCGCTGCCTGTTTTTCTGTGCGTTTCCCTGTGTCTCTCCATCTTTATGTCTCCACCTCTGTCTCCTCCTGCTCCCCCTTCCCTACTGTGTCCCCTCTACACTCACGTCTGTCTATCCATCCCTGCAGGTACAGGCTGTGGGTGGACAGCTGCTCAGAAATGTTCGGCGGCCTGGACATCTGCGCCGTCAAGGCCGTCCACAGCAAGGACGGCAGAGATTACATCATCGAGGTGAGGGATGAGGCAGAGGTCCTCCTGGCTGGGTCCAGCGGAAGGAACCCAAATGTGGTCTCCCGCATGATCGGCTGTGTCCTGACCCGTGGTGGGCAGCTCCCAGGGGCTTCTCACCCACCGCCCTCATGCACTTCCCCACCCCCTCTCTCAGCTGTATCTAAGGCCTTGTGTCCAGGGGTTCTGAGCTGGGCCTTGAAAGCTCCAGGCATGAGGTTTAACGGTTTTCCCTAACCCAAAGGCCCATGGGTGAGGCAAGGCCATCAGCAACATCCTGTCCCATTGGGCCTCTCAAATTTTCTGTGTCCGACTGTGTAAAGTCACCATGCAGAGCTTCCATCGTCTGTTCACCCAACAAACATGTCCTTCCGGGCTCCCATGGGCTAGGCATGGGTGTGGCTCTGGGGACACAAAACAGAGGTGGGATGTGCAGCCTGGCAGGGAAAAGGGTGATAAACAAGCAATAGCAGGGCCCTGAAGGTTAGGGAAGGAGACACGGTCATGCAGGGGTGTGAATGGAAGGACAGATGTGGGGACAGTAATTGTAAGAGAGAGGTTCAAGCGGGGTGAAGGTCCTAGAAGCTGCCCCACAGCCCTCCTGCAGCCCGCGTCTCTCATGGGGCCACGACCCCCTGCCATCCTCCAGGACCATCACCTACTTGTCCCTGTAGTCCTGTGCCCTCCGCCACCGCCACCAACTTCCTGTCCATGCTCCTCCGGATCCCACAATCCCCCGCTCTCCTCCCTGACTCCTGTCTGTCTCTCCCGGCCCCGCACCCTCCTCTCCCCTCTCTTCAACGCCCCCTCCGTGTCCCCCACAATCACAGCTCACGACTCTCCACTGCTTTCCCCTCAAAATGCCCCTCTGGCCTCAGAGTTCTCCCTTCTCCCCAGTTTCACACGGGCTCACACACACCCCCCTCCCAAGAGCCGCTTCTGGTGCTCGTCACACGGCAGCCGCGGGCAGCGCTGACACGGGGCCAGGACACTGGGCCAGGTCGCGGGAGGGAGAGCCCTGCGGCTGCCCCTTCCTGGGGAAGCACATGGCCGGTGACCTCCGGAGCCAGCTCCTCTCCTGTCCCTGGGACTCACGGTGCAGCGGGACCAGGAGACTCGGAGCGGGGAGCCGGCTCAGAGGCTGTCGCACCCGCGCCCAGGGAGCGGCCGCCCTTGGAAGCGAAAGGGAGCGAGTCCCAATGGACAGTGGACACAGCCCCCCACCCAGAAGCCCCCACGGAGGAGCTGCCTCTGCACTCGTGGGTTCGGTCCCCGTTCTGGGGACCGGGCTCCCTTACGGGCAGGAGCGAGTGGCTTTTCCTCTGGCAGCCACCACACCTGAAATGCCCCCCTGTGGCCCTTCCCGAAGGAGATGTTGAAAGGGCCTCGAGCAGAACGACCACCCTGCACGCCGGGGCCAGGGTCTTCCCTGGCGGAATGAGCCCCACCTTCCTGAGGCGCCCTGGGATCTTCAGACCAAGGGCAGGCCGAGGGCCCTCCAGCCTGGGGCGTTGCATCTCTTGAAACCCCTCCCGGCCCTCCTGCCTCTGCATCTCCTCACAGGACCACCAGACACGAACTCGGGTTTGGCACACACGCACTCACTCATTCATTCATTCCTTCGCCACGAGCCCCGACCCTGGGCGCCAGCCCCTGAGCCAGGTGATGGGGCTGTAAACACGGTAGCAGAGACCCTGCCTTCTAGAGCTCCCATGTAGAGAAGCGATCGCAATCAACAGACGAGGGACTCTCCCCTCCGCTCCATCTTGTGAGCTCAGCCCCTTCTCCCTGCTTAGCACCCTCTCTGCCCTCCAGCCTTCCTGCCTCTCTGAGTCTCCATGACTTTCACTCCTAGGAAACAAAAATCTGTGCTCGTGGGCCCAGGCTCCCTGCCTCCAGACACTCAGAATGGTCAGGGATGAAAGATTTCTCATGTTAAAAAAAAAAAAAGCAAACTTAGAGTTTGGACTTCAAAAAACAAAAAAAAAAACAACTCAAAAACGTTCCAGAGGAGGAAAAAAAAGATGACTTTTTCAGATGGTATTTTTCTCTCAGAAACATTGAGGAGTTGTTTTCCTTGCTTTTGGGTTTAGGGTGGAGTCGAGGGAGATGAGGAACTTGCTACCAGGAAGATAAAAGGTATTTTTTTCCCAGTCGGGAAAAAAAAGCAGAAGAGATCCAAAAATACCGATCTCTTCAGCCACCTCTGTGGTGAGAACATAAAATGTGTGTGACATGTTTTGTGAAGATCCTCAAAGAGAAATATTCAGGGGACAGACCCTTGAACTTGTCCTCCATGACCTGTCCGGAGAATGACATTGCTCACTGGAAAAAATGTTTCCCCTGGGGAGACCAGAGTGTCCACTTCCTTTGGCCGTGTCCACCATGGGGATTCCAAAATGCCTGACCTCAGGTTCCTTGTGGTGGCTGTTTTCCACTGCACGGAATGTAGGAAACAGAACCCAGAACAGAGAGAGGTGGGCAGGGTCAGGGGGAGAAGGGACAGGCCTGTGTACATCTAGACGAGCTCCACAGTCACCACCCAGCTCAGCCCACGTTGACCGAGACACTGTCCACGTGACAGGTACTGGGATCTGGGATGGCAAGGGCCCAGGCCCAAACCACGGGGAGCTCAGTCTGAGGGCAGTTTCCAGGGCTGTGCTAGAGTCATCATTCACATCCCTGAGTTCGTCTTTCAGCTTCCCAACCACAGTGGGTGCTTTAGATTCCAAGACCCTTAAAAGTCCCAGCTGGAAGGGTCTTCACAGCTGCCCAAGCCCCTCAGCTTACAGGTGAGAAAAACAGTGAGCCCACAGAGGAAAGGTGACCTGCCCAACATCACACAGCAAGCCCACAGAAGAACCTAGTCTTGGAACTCAGGTTTCTTGTCCCTGGTTCTTACCCAGAGAGCTGTTTCGGTGCTTAGTGAGAAGTAGAAAGACCATGGTTTGCTGGCCATGTGTCCTTGAACTTGCCACTTCTTTGACCTTCAGTTGCCTCATCATTGAGATGAAGATGATAGTGGTACCTGCCTCAAAGAGCTCTTCTGAGATTTGTGTGAGATCATCCACACCTAGCGCTGAGAACAGTGCCCGCCTGGCACGTAGTAGGTGCTCAATAAAAATAGCACCCGTGCGCATCCCTATCATTAAGAACAGGACTTATCGCAAGGACGTTTCACTCCCCATTCAACAGGTGATTTCCGAGGACACAGTGGTTTAACGGGACGTGGGGCTCGTCCTGGGGGCCTCGTAGTCTGGTTGGGGAGGCGCGAGCACACAGCAGATGACGGCGCTGTGGGCTAAGCCGTCCAGTAGGACGGCCGAAGCCAAGGCAGTGGGAGGACAGACAAAGGTGGCTTATCAGAGCTCGCTCAGTCAGGGAGGGCTTCCCAGAGGAAGGCCGGGTGTGTGTTTGTGGATAGGTGAGTTAGCCCGGTAAAGAGGGAGCTGAGGGAACGGCGTACATAGGACCTAGATGGGAGGAAGAACCTGGGGGAGCCCAGAGCTTGGGGAAGGGGAGACGAGACAGTGAGTTTGCTGGAGGTGGATGGGTGAGTAGGGCCGGCCAGGAGTGAAGGGGGAGGGGGAGAACCTGGATGCTTGGCCTATGGGACCTTAGGCAAGTCCCTTCCCACCTCTGGGCCTCGGTTCCCTGGCTGCAAAAAGAGCAGGGTGGGTAAACACGGGGAGTGAAGGGGGAGGGAGAGATCCTGGATGGTTGGCCGATGGGACCTTAGGCAAGTCCCTGGCTGCAAAAAGAGCAGGGTGGGTAAACACGACCTGTCACGTGCGTACTTTGCCCCTTTGAGGAACAGCCTGCTCCCCGGGGAACGAGTTTCGCGGCCAGGCCAGCGTGTGTTCTGCCAGAGGCCTGGGAGCGGGCTTTTCCTGTCCCTCTTCTCTCTGAACCCCGCCAACATCTGCGTCTTTTTTTTTCTTTTTTTTGTCACAATCGAACCCCCACCTCATTGCTTCCGGCTTTTTGGAAAGCCTTGCCCTTGGGCCAAAGTTCAGGAAGCCAGCCCCGACCTTGGGCAGGGGCCAAGCAGGGAAAAGAGGGAGCGGAGAACAGCTCCCCAAAAAAACAGCAGAAAAGGCCAGCAAAGGCTGCTTGGCCCTCTGACACATTTCTGTAGTCCGGCGAGTGTAGACTGCATTGAGCTGAATCCAGGGAGTTGACTTAGACTGAACTGCGGGGAGCTGGATATCTCGGGAGGGGTCATTCCCAGCTGGAGGCGCTGGGCTGGGTGTTTGCACGGAGAACATCGCCATCTAGTGGTCACTTCTGGTCTGAGCGCTGAGCCTGCTCTCCTGCCGGCCTACCCAGGCAAGGGCGTCCCTCAGGCCGTCTTTCTCTCCCGCAGGTAATGGACAGCTCGATGCCCCTGATCGGAGAGCATGTGGAAGAGGACAAACAGCTGATGGCCGACCTCGTTGTCTCCAAAATGAGCCAATTCCTGATGCCGGGGGGCACAGTACCCTCACCCCTAAGGCCTTGGGTAAGGTCCTCAAGAACAAAGGAGATTTTGTAGCCATAAGAAATGTCAGGCTGTCTGGGAATGGGGGGCCCTAGGTCCACAGGAGATATCCCCAGAATGGCACCACCCTAGGGAGTAAAGAATGAGGTGTGGACGGAGACGGGGCATCAGGGAGAGCTTCTCCACCCTGCTCCTGACACAGTGTCTGGGAAGCTCGGGAGGAAGGGGCCCTTCCTCCCTTCGCCATCCTGGGGAGAAAAGCCTTGTCTCAAATGGGCCCCTGGTGTCTGTGGACAGAGCTTATTAATGTCAGAAGTCGGTTGTCCCTCTGTGCCCTCCACCCTGGACCTTAGCAGGGAACGGAGTGTGTGTGTCCGTGTGTGTGTGTGTGTGTGTGTCTGTGTGTGTGTGTGTGGGTGCCCGAAGGAAGTCGTGTAATCTTTTTATGGTCGCTCCTTAATTTCATCCGTGTGTGTGTGTGTGTCCGTGTGTGTGTGCTTGCCATGTACACACATGCCCTTTGTGCAATCCCAGGGCACCAGTCAACAGAGACTGTTGTGTCTCTCGTTTCCTCGGCCCCCGACTTTGACAAGCTCCCACACGGCTCCTCCCCCCGCAGCCCTCACCGTGGATTGCCAGATCATTCTCCAGAGAATTTGCTAGCTCCCCAGCTTTCTAGTAAAGCAGGTGTCAAAACCCGCTCCCCCTTTTGCCCATGAGAACTTGAGTCTATGATAATTGATGTCGGAGTAATGGTTGTACTTGGAGGGGCTGCTGGCTGGGAGGGGGCACAGGGTGGCCCTCTCCAAAGCAAAGATTCTGTCCCAATCTGAGTGGTCACACCCGTGCGTGCACATATGCTGTGCGCTTCAGAATTGCGCTCTTCATGTAAGTTTTACCTCAATAATGAAAAGATCTTTGTAAATCCTGCTCTCCCACCCAGGAAGTAAATGGCCGTGGTGACCACAACAGGCTTCTTTTCTCTTCTCCTGCTCTAGGCTCCGCAAGCTAAACCAGCAAAATCCCCCGGGCCAGCCCAGCTGGGGCCTCCGCTGGGACAGCCCCAGCCACGCCCACCCACACAAGGTAGGACCTGCGACAAACCCAGAGAAGTCACCCAGCAAGGATGTCGAAATGCACTGAGGGATCCATGTGTGATTTGCAGAAGGCACTCTGGAAAAATCCATCTTAATGCTTTCTCCACAGAATATGTGCCCTTGCTTTATATGCAGAATAAATAAGACAGCAAGGTTTGCCGCCCTCTTAAAGTCAAGGAAGAAAGACTGAAAGTAAATGTATTAAGTGCCTATACGTGCCGGGCACTGTGTTAGAGACTTTGCCATCCGTGTGCTCAATCTCGGCCTCCCACGCACTCTGCAAGGAAAACATTGATGTTTCCTTTTTACAGAAGCGGATGCTGAGGCTTTGTCCAAGGGAGCAGGACAAGAAAACGGCAGGTTGACAAGTCTGGCCTTTCAGACCTTCTAGAAAGTGTCCGTTTGCTAGTCACTGGTGGTGCCTGATTATAGATGTATGAGCCAACTGGCTAACGGGAAAAAAAGAGAAAAGAAAAGAAAACAGAACTTTACATATTAACTTGATGGTTGAAATTGTTCCTCAACAGATGTTCCAGCATTACTCTTTAAATGACACCATTTCTTAGGGAATGGAAAAACTATTGACGACAAGATGAAAAGAAATCATGGCACTAACTAATTTTCTCTCAGAAGGTCCGCTGCTCGGGTGTCCCTCACACCCCGTCCCGGGTCCCGTGTCCTCTCTTGCGGTCAGGGTCTTCCAGACACAGTCACAGCTCTAGTGCCAGCTTGGAGCTTCAGAGCAGTTTTGCATCAAGGAGCCGGGCCAGGCATTTTCACAGCAGCCGTTTAAGGATTTGCTTTAAAACCTATCAGACAGAAAGCATCACTATCACGTCGTGGCCCCCTGAGTCACTATTATTAAAGTTAACAGGTTCATCGCTTCTAGAGAAAATCAGCCTTGGGCACAAAAAGGCTTCCTCTTCCACAGGTCTTAGACGAGATGCCCCATTCATCTTTTTTGTCTACGCTTCTCTTCTTGCAAAAGCGGAAAGCAGTTAAGAAAAGGGAAACTGCGTAATTTATATAGCGGTGTACGAACGAACACTGGGATTCTTCAGCAGATAAACGCGTGTTGAATCTATTTCCATGTCCCAGTACTTTGCAGTCTTGGGCGAGTTATATCACTCTTCTGAGCCTCGGTTTCCCCAATGAAAAAGGAGGAAATCACAGCCCCCCTGTTTAGATATGGGGGCCTGAGCATGCGACAATGCAGGTGAGGTGTCCAGCACAGAGGCGCTTAGAAAGCGTTAGCTCCTACTACTAATAGCTGACTATTAATAACACTTATATAACTTTTACTATTTAAAATTTCCTGCTAACAACTTGTTTCTTACTAACAATTGTAATCGACACGTTGTTCTTAATGATCGTCCTTGACAATCCTTATAACTCGCGAGGCCCCACTGCCCTCTTGCCTGGCGATAAATGTTCAAAAATGACTTATTCGTCACCCTGCCAGGCTCCTGGCTGTGCCTCTGCCCTACCTTCTCCTTCCCACTCTGCCCAGGACTCACTCTTTAAAACACATTTGAACAGAGCACTTTTAAAACAGAGAGCTACTGTATTCTGGTTTCCTCTCTGGACCAGAGTAGAGACATGCTTGATAAAGAGATATTATTTTAAGGGACATGAGGCTAAACACACTTTTAGTGAGTTGAAAAACAATCCATTTAAAACCAGTTAAGATAATTAAAGAAAATGCTCGTCGAATTAACATTCGGATTAAAAATAACAAGGCTAATTTAAAAACAATTCTTTCATTGAGTTCTCAAAATAACGAGATCACATTATTAACTTGTTTTTGAACTCACTGTTTATTTTCAACTCAGTAAAAGTGAAGTTTTATTTTAATAAGCCTCATCATTTTTAGCACCCATCTTGTGCTTAGGCAAATACTCTCTATATATAAGTTAATGTTTTTTGTATGTGCTCAAATAAAAAGTACTACGCCGTTTGCTTTGCCAAGAAGCTGAAAGAAATAACGAGAGTGTCTCTTGATGAATCCCAGGTGTACAACAGGGACTCAATGAATGAGCGAGTGTCCAGATTTTCCAAGATTTTATCGGGGGAGGGTGGGGAGAAGAGACTTAAGATAAAAGTAGAAAACAGATGTTTTCTTTGACCTGCAATGGAAACCAACATTTTAAAATCTAGATTTGCAGCTTCTAGAGTTGCAGCTTCTCTTGATAGAGCCTGAGCTCTAGAAGCAATGGGCGTGAATTCCTCCAGAGTAACTGTCCCCTGAGGTTTAGTCACAGCTGCTCCCTGGAGAGAGCGAGGACTCGCCCATCACCCTCAGGTCCTCCTCCTCCCTGTTGTCACTGCCACAGAGACGCAGCCGTCAATTGCTATCTTCATGCTGCATCTCTTTAGAGAAATAGGCCTCTGAACTATGTTTTTATCTCAAATGGGAAATTTTTTTGAAAGCCATGGGATTTTTCTGACACTCGCCTGCTTTATTTATGTAAGTACTTGCCTGGCCCTCTAGGGGTTTGTTTTGAGATAAATGAATCCTCCAATCTACGATGATGCACAGCCACGAAAGAGGTAAAGAATGAATCGAAGCCATGTGCAATCAGCTGCTAGATGGGGCTGCCATTCGGTCCAACTCAGAAAGTGTGGCAGGCCCGTGAAAACGATCTAAGTGGGAGGGACGTTTGATGGCTGGTCCAGCGACTTCATTCTACAAACAAGGGCCCAGAAGCCCAGAGAGAAGTGACTCACCCACAGTCACCTAATGAGTTAATGGCAAGGCTTGAGTCAGGACCTGGGGCTCTTGGTGCCAGTGTGGTGTCAGGGCCACCAGACATGATGAGGTCATGCCGTCTGCAGAAGTGACCATCTGAGGTGATGTCTAAGGGGGAGGTTGGCTGAAATCTAGTCCTCAATCCCCTGGTACCTCACTCAGAGCCGCCTCCACTGAAGGCAAGCACCTTTTCTTAATTCACACAAAGATGCGAGGACGCAGGCCAGCCCTGTGTGGTACAGTAAAAAAGAAAGAGGAAAGAAGGAAGGAAAGAAGGAAGGAAGGAAGGAGGGAGGGAGGGAGGGAGGGAGGGAGGGAGGGAGGGAGGGAGGGCGGGAGGGAAGAAAGAAAGACAGGACTTTTGAGTCAAAAAGCTCTAAGTTTGAGTCTTGGCTTTTCCCAATATTGAGCAAATCACAAAGTACCTGGGACTCAGTTTCTTTGTAAAAACAGAGCTGTTGATGATGCCTGACCCACAGAGGTGTCGTGAGGATGCCCAGCCCAAGGCGGGACACGACTACTGTTATGTCGTATCAGTGTCGGTAGAGACTGGTGGAGCTTGAGTGCGTGGAAGCCACATGGTGAAAGGGCTACAGAGATGGGCTGAGGCCCCTTCGAACCCTCAGCCTCCTAACCTCTCTAAAGTGGTCTCTACAACGCATGGCGAGAATACCACGGGGCATTACCCACTGTCCCCAGAGCAGGTGGATCCTAGGGAGAAGGGACCATCAGGCAGCTAGCCAATCTGCACCCCAGATTTGAGGGTGAGGAGGGTGCATCTTGCTTGTTTGGGGCCTTGGAATTCCACTCGAAGTCACTTCTGGATGGCTAAGACATCCCAAGCTTATGATGCCCCTTTGCTTGCAGGTGACTATATGCTCTGTCCCATGACAGGGGGAAGCCAAGATCCTCTGTGAGCTAGTGGCCACTCCTTCTAGTTCTGACACTTAATGAGGCTGGCTTCTTCCTCAGCAGGATGAGAAGAATGGTGTCTTCCCTACCAGCCTCTGTCTGGGTCAAATGATATATTGCTTTCGAAAGTTCTTAGAAAAGATGAGAGAGCGATCCATAAGTTAAGGTTAATTCTTTGCATTGCTTCGAAAGTTATACACGTTTATTGTGGAAAACATTGGTGTGCCAAGGAAGAGAATTAGCGTGCTTCATAATCCCACCTCTTTTGTAATCATCACTCTGCGACTCAAGACTCAAAGCATGGTGAGCACATGCCACACTTTGCCTCACCTGGAGCCCGTTAGAAACGCGGAATCACAGACCCTGCCTGTTAGTCAGCTCGGGCTGCCATGACCGGATACCGTGGCCGAGAGCTCAACAGCAGACGTCTACCTCCCACCATTCTGGAGGCTGGAAGTCCAAGATCAAGATGCCAAGGGGGTTGAAACTTCTCTCAGGCCACCTTCCCACCGTGTCCTCACACAGCCTTTCCTCTGTGCGTGCATGCCCGTGGCATCTCTCTCTCTTCTAAGGACACCTGGCACACCGGGTCTAGGGCCCCACCCTTAAGACCTCGCTTAACAATAATTAGCTGCTTTAGGGCCCTGTATCCAAAAATAGCCACACTGAGGGTTAGGACTTCAAGATATAAATTTGGGAGGAACATGATTCCGTTCCTAACACCACCCCGAACCTACTGTGTCAGACCCTCTGCTTCAACAAGACGCCCCCGTGACTCGTATGCTCAAAAAAGTCTGGGACACACCGGTTTTAGTGTATAACCTTCTAGCCTTTCCTTTTTACATAGCTTTATATATGCCAAAATGCAAAAAAAAAAAAAAAAAAAAAACCACCTGTATGGTACTATTTTATAAGCTGCTCGATTCTGTTCAGCCATATTTATTTAGCATAAATCTACAATATCCCATTTTATTTAATATTATTCTGCCACACACATGATGACCACAGCATATTCTATCATATGGATGGTTTTTGGTTTTTTTTTAAGGCGAGGCAACCCTTGGTTGACCTCACAGATTGCAAGGACCTTGTCAGTTTACAATCCCTTATTATTTTATTTTTTACGCCTACAGCACCTGGTCCTCCTAGGTGGTCTCCCATCTAAGTACTAACCAGGCCCAACCCTGCTTAGTTTCCGAGATCAGACGGGGTCGGGCTTGTTCAGGGTGGCATGGCCGTAGACTGGATGTTTCTTGATGTTCCTAATTATTTAGGCATTTATATTGCTTTCAATTCTTTACCGTTATAAAAAAAACACTGTAGTGAAAATCCTTGAAGCAACATTTGTGCAGCCATATTTAACCCAAGAAAAACTTGAATGTAATAATTTTTTCGCCCTGTAGGGGGTCCTCGCCAAGCTCAGTCTTCTCAGCCTCCAAGATCTGGAAGCCCCTCCCAACAGAGGCTCTCCCCACAAGGCCAGCAGCCCGTGAGCCCCCAGTCTGGATCCCCACAGCAGCAGAGATCACCAGGCTCTCCACAGTTGACCCGGGCAGCCAGTGGCAGCTCTCCAAACCAGGCTTCCAAGCCAGGCGCCACCCTCACCTCACAGCCCCGGCCCCCGGTGCAAGGCCGCAGCCCCTCTCAACAGGGTGAAGAGCCCAAGAAGCCAGCACCACCCCACCCCCATCTCAAGTAAGTGCTTTGGGACTGGGAAGGGTATGGGTGGAGTTGGGGTGTGGGCAAAGCTGGGCTGACTTGGGGTCAGAGACTCAGAGACAAAGGAAGACCCACCGAGGCCTCACCCAGACTTTAAATGGGTGGAAGGAGGCCTGGAGGATGGAACTTGGGATGGTGCGTAGGGCCCAGCAAGGCTAGAGTGTAGATTGGGCCCCACCATGATCCCCTAGATGTACATGTATCAGTTATCTCTCACTGCGTAACAAACTACCCCAAAACTTAGTGGCTTAAGGAAACAACCGCTTTTATTGTTCATAATCTCTCAGTTCAGCAATTTGTTCTGAGTTCAGCTCAGCTGGGAGGTGCTTCTGCAGGTGTCTCCTGTAGAGTCACCAGATAAAATACAGGATGTCCCGTTAGATTTGAATTTCAGATAAATAATGAATAATTTTCAGTATAACTATGTCCTCACGTATTGCATGGGGTATACTTATACTTTAAAAAGTATTTGTTTTTCATCTGAAATTCAGATTGATCTGAGTGCCCTGTATTTTTATTTACCGTATCTAGCAACCCTAATCTCCCGGGATCACTCATAATGCTACAGTCATCTGGCAGCTTAACTAGGGCCGGGCGATTCTAGAAGGCCTCACAGACACATCTGGTTGTCGGTGCTGGCTGTCAGCTGGGTCTCTCTCCTTCCATGGGCCTCATCGTCCAGTGGGCTGGGCGCAGCTTCCTCACATGGTAGAATCATTTTGCAAAAGGGCCAAAGTAAAAGCCACAAGTCCTGCTGAGGCCCAGCCTTAGAAGCCTCACAATGTCATGTCATTCTATCGTGTGCTTTTGATCAAAGCAAGTCGCAGAGCCACGCCCAGACCCAAGAGGTGGGGAAATAGACTCTTGATGGGAGGGCCTACGACGCCACATTGCAAAAGGACAGACGACAGGGACAGGAAGAACTGTTGCCATCATTTTTGTAAACAATCTACCACAAGATACATATGTGCATCCTCTTTCCTCTCAAGTCCATCTCTTAGTTTAAGGTCAGAAAGATCCCGAAGGAGTTTTCTTTGGAAAGCGTCTCCCTTCCTTAAACCACAAACACTAACATCGATCATCAATTTTCACACTAGCATCTACTGTCTCCTTAGTATGTGGCAAGCACTTTACCTAGTTGGTTGTTTGCTTGTTTTTTTAATTCTCACAAGCTTAGGAGTTAATAACTATTATTATCCCCACTTTAAAGATGGGGATAATATTAAACAGGAGAAAGATTAAATAACTTGCCAAAATTTCCACTGTTATTAAGTAGAAGAGCTAAGATTGAACACAGGACATTTAGTCCATGGGTCATGCTAACCATAACTTTTTAAATAGGCAATACATTCACATGGCACAAAGATCGAAAGGTATCGACTATGTCGAAACTATGCATCGAAAAACCTGACTCACACGTCATTCCCATCCAATGCTTTCCTGCCCTCTGCTCCCCAGAAGTAACCACTTTTGTTAGTTCCTTGTGTTTCTCCAATGTTTTCTTATGCAAATAAAAATATATGCTCTCATTCCCTCCCTCCAGGCACTTTTTTACACAAACGATGGCATTCGCTATCCACACCAGTCTGCTCCTTGATTTTTACATTTAACAATAAACCCTGGAGCTCTTCCACGCAATTCATTAAAATGTTCTCCTTTTCACAGCTGTATGGTATTCCACTGTATAGTTGTCCTATAGTTTACCTAACCAACCCACCATAAATAGAAACTATGTTTGCTCTTACCAAGAAGGCTACAGTGAATAACCTTGAGCACATGCTATTTCTTATGTGTGCAGGATCAGCTGCAGAGAAAATACCTGAAGTGGTACTGTTGGGTCAAAGGATAAATGTACTTTTGGTTTGATAGATATCAGCAAGTAGACCCCCAGGCAGTGTGGCTCAATGGTCAGCAGCACAGACTCCAGAGTCAGACTGCTTGGGTTCAAATTCCAGCTCTACCACTTAAAAGCTGCATGACCTCAGAAAAGTTACTTAACCTCTCTGTTGAAGTTAACACAACTTTTACTTCCTCACCTGCAAAATGAGGACAATATTACCTACCCCTCAGGGTTATTATAAGGATTAAATGAGTGTATGCACAGTTAGTGTTTCTCTGCTGGCACAGTACAGCACATCTGTGACAACCTCTCACCATGTGAAAAGAGGCAGCCCAGCTAATCACAGGACAAGCCAGGGCTTTGGGACTTAAACCAGGTTTGGACTCTGACCTTACAGTAATCTAGCTAGAAACACTTAAATCTCCCGGGCTGTTGCGCTAATGTATTTTTTGGTTCAACTCAAGTCAGCAGATATTTATCAAATGCTTACTCTGCCCCTAGTCCTGAATAAGGCCCTGTGCGAAATAAGCAAGGGGTAAAAGATAGTCTCCATTTTGAAGAGGATTTTGATCTTTTATAGTGATGACAAGACTGTGTGTGGATCTCTCAAACTGTGTCATATTTATATCATCTCTTCCTATGTCTGTCACCTCCACTAGACTGTGGGTCTCTTAAGGGCAGGGCCTGAATTCTATTCATCCCTACACCTCTGCCACCTAGTACTGAGCTAGCACGAAGGTTCAAACACTGTGGTTCAAACAGCAGGTACCGTGAGGATTCCAAAATGGGCTGGAATCAGCAATAAGAGCTTCAGAGGAGGTGGGAATTGAATCCCAGAGTGACAGGGCCAGAAAAAAGCCTGAGGGCCGGCCAGACAGACACTCCCCATACCTATGAGGTAAAGGAGGCCCTTAGCACCAAATTACTTGCCCGAGGCCAGAGGGGTCACAGGCCTCCTGATTCCCATGTGCTGGTGAATATAGGAGGAGCAGCCACACCTGATGTTGACACAGCACTTCACAGTTTACGAAGTGGGTTTGGACACATAGGCAGGAAAGTTGTCAAGTTACTCTAGTGAGGCCTGCCAGCTGAGCAGCCTGGTTTAGTGGGAAAAAACGCGCGCCTTGGGTGCCCCGCCGTTACTTGCGATGAGTGAGCCCCAGTTTCTGTACCTGAAAAAGGAGGGAACCAGTAACCACCCTGCCAGTTAAATAATGCGTGTGATTCACCCAGGATCCTGTAAGCGTTGGAATGTCTGGTTTCTGGCCTTCACCATCTTGCGATGACCGGGCTCACCCACCTGGCCTCTAGGCAAGCACCCCGCGACTCATTTCCCTGAGATCCAGGTCTCGTCACCCGCCAAGTCCCCTGCCTTTCTGTTTCAGCAAATCCCAGTCCCTGACGAACAGCCTCAGCACGTCCGACACGTCCCAGCGCGGGGCCCCAAGTGAGGATGAGGCCAAGGCCGAAACCATCCGCAACCTGAGGAAGTCCTTCGCCAGCCTGTTCTCCGACTAGCCCTGTGCCGCAGGGAGGAGGGCCACGCTCCGGGGGCCCCTCGCCATCCTGCCTCATCGTCCTTCTCGGCCTTGTTCCTGATGGGAACAGAATGGAGGGCCTGAGAATACACCTTCTAAATGCCTTTGACCCTGAACTGAGTATCTATACATGTCCCCACTTTCCTTCACCATGACATTCCAGCATCATCCGACTGAGCAGTGGACCTTTGAGAGCCTCCAGGTTCCTCCAAATGGGCCTTGACGACAGGTGTCACGTCATTCTGCCCACCCAGATGCTTGCTTCCCTGCCTCGGATAACCAAGTGAGATGTCCGTGTGTGGCTAGTTTTCACATCTCTTGTTAGTGTCTTGCTTGCCTTTGGGAGAAGGCCCCTCTAGGCCTCGCCCCACCCCCATCAAATGCAGACACTGCTGTCGGACCTCAGCAATATAGGAGGCAATAATCTTACGACAGTGTTTTGCAAATAAAAGGAGAGAAGCCCAGCCAGGTGAAGTCGTCACCTGCCCACGCTAATTCCATCCAGGCTCAAGAGACCTCCCCTCAGACCAGGCAGGCAAAGGCCCCATCACGCCTGGCCACCAGTGGGATCTTGAGGCCAAAGGAAAGAAACCAGATCCTGTGTGACAAGTGGGGCCTTTCAGAACACAACAGAAAGAGAGGGAGAAGGAAGGAAGGAAAGAGGGAAGGAAGGAAGGAAGGAAGGAAGGAAGGAAGGAAGGAAGGAAGGAAGGAAGGAAGGAAGGAAGGAAGGAAGGAAGGAAGGAAGGAAGGAAGGAAGGAAGGAAGGAAGGAAGGAAGGAAGGAAGGAAGGAAGGAAGGAAAGAAGGAAGGAAGGAAGAAGGAAAGGAGGAAAGGAAGGAAAGGGATAGGGATAGGGATAGGGAAAGGAGGGAGGAAGGAGAGAGGAACTCTGGAAAGCGGCTCGCACGCAGAATGGACAGCCAAGAGCAGACCGCAGGCTCTCTCAGGAATCCTTATTCGCTCCCAGAGGAGGAAGATGCCCTCGACTTCCCAAGGAAGGACTTAGGTTAAGGCTTCTCCACCCGTTCTGTTACACCACCAGGAACGCTCTAAATTCCCACCAGGAAGGTTTCCTCCTCAGGGATACAGGAGGAGCCAGAGAGAACAGGCAGATCAATGACACAGGATCAGAACACACGACGATAGTAACTGCTAGGTCAGCATTTCACAAACTGTACAGCGTTTGGTAGGTAACTCAATTACAAAGCATTCCGTGGCCAAACGTGTTTAGGAAACGCTGTTTGTCTATTTTTCTTTTGAAATTGGTAGGCTTTTGGAATTCCCACAGTGAAGATGTTAGCTTTATGTTTAACCCAAACTGGACTCAACAAGTTAATTGCAGAGCTGAAAAACGTACCCCCCGATTCTCTCGCCGATGCCATTTCCCCTACATCAGACTGCCTCCCGGGGCCACGTAGGAGCAGCCGCGTCCCACGTCACCAAGCACCTGGTGCTAGAAACATTGTCGGTGCCAGAACCAGCCTCCTGGTCCCAAAAAGAGGCCAGGGGATCAGAACAGAGCCATGGTACCCCCATGCAGCCTGAGACATGTCTGCCCTTTGCTGTTCACAGGGAAGGGGGAGAGGGAGGGATAACTGAGTGACCTTGGCCTGGAGCTACGTTCTGAATAAAAATGAGAGAAAACTTGTAGGGCAGGAGTAACACCACAAAGGCCACGTTTTAGGAGATTAAGATCATAGAAAATACCTGAGGCGGTCGACACTTTTCCGTGGTGGAGAATAAGTTGAGGAGAAGCCAGAACGATCTCACCCACTTCTCATTTAGTGATAAAATACAGCTCGCGGCAGACGACAGAGCGGGGATAGGCTAGACCACGCTTCTCAAAGGGTGGGCCACGGCCAAGAGCGTAACTAGCTTCATTTCAGACCAAAGGAGTCAGGATTTCTGGTCATAAGGCCCACACCTGTAACCGTGTTAGTCTCCCCAGGTGTTGTGCACGCATAGCGAAGTCAGACCAGCGGCCTGAGCTGAGCCGTGCGTGAGCGGAGTGTGGGGAAGCGACACACGAGAAACAGCGTTGGCGCGGATTCCTTAGGGCCAGGGCCCCGCTCCTTTGGCAAGCAAAACTAGTGGCTCCGTGAACAGTGACCGTGCGGCTTAACTTTTCCCGTTTTCCTACATTGTGTCCCTTGTCCCTAAAAACGTCTCAGCATTTAAACTGTGTCTCCCAGAGAGTCCAACTATAGTAGCACAGACGCCTTTACGAGGCCAGGCCTTTACCTTGATTTTTATAACCATGCACAGGTAAGCTGTGGCATAATGCTAGTTCGTAACCGACACGTTTAAATAAATGTTCCCCGTTGGTCTGTGTGAGAGTGGAAAGCATCAACGGTCTTGTGGAAACCACAGACACCCCCCCACCCCCCACGGGCCGGTCCTCACATAGGCCAGCACATTCCTTCCACACAGTGAACCTCACTAGCTGACATTTTGAACACAGGAAAGGACAAGGAGCCGGGGCGAGAGGGGAGTCGCTCTGGAGAGATTCTGGAAGGTTCTGTTTGTTGGTTTTTTTGTTTTGTTTCACCACTTGCATCTAAAGAAAGTCTAGCATTTTCCCTCCAAGCTGAGTTGGTGAGGCCGAACCACGACAATGATCCGTTTCGTGCCAATGGGTAGCACAGTGAGTAGGATTTAAACACGCGGCCTCAGGGACACCTCCGCCAGCCAGAGAAAATAACTTCTTCCAGCTCCTCCTCCTGGCAGCCTGATAAAAAGGTGCCGTAGTTTAATTAAATGTTAAATCAGCTTTCCAGGGACACTGGGACATACATCCTTTCTCAGCCATCGAGTCCCTACGTTCTCTTCATCATCGCTACACCCTCTCCCAATGTTTGGTCTCTGGCACTTAGCGATACCTCTCCACAATTTCAGGGGCCATGGGCCTTCACACACCCCAGGAGCCTGAACGCCCACTACCTTCTAGAAGTTCCCATCTGCATTTGCCGTGAAAGGAGTTCAAGGAGAAAGCAAGCGGGTGCAGGTATCCCGTAAATGAGCTAGGGGAGTAGAGCAAAGAGCACATCTCTGGGCACACAGTAGGTGGTCAGGACATGTTTAGGTTGGACATAAAATGTAAACAAAGTGCTGAGATTGAAGGAAAAGGCTGTTTTTCTAAGGGTGTCAGTGTGAAGTCATTTGCCCAGGAACAGAATCAAACCAAGAGATTAGTGAAATGAGATTAGAAGCTGAAGAAAATCTGTGGCGGCTTTTTTACCCTCAGAAAAAGGTTTCAGACTCTAAACTGAGTCTGAAGAGGATGGGAGCGAGCAGAATCGGGGGCCCACGAGAACCGCCCCATGGGGAGCATGGCCCACGTGGAGGTCAGTTGACCGCACGGCTGCCACGGCCAGGAGCCGAGTGTCAGCATCAGGGAGGCTGTGCTGAGCCAGGAAGGACGATACCGAAGGCCATGCAGTGAGACCCGGGACCAGCGAGTCCCATCAAGCACACGGGCCACAGCAGACCATTCCCAGACAGCAGAGCCCAGCTGGAGCCATCCCACAGGTACACAAAGCGACCTTTCAGGACCTGCCCGACAGTGCTGGAGAGCTGGCTGAGCCCTTGTGCTTTATCCAGCCTCATGAGACAGGCTGGTAGCTCATTTTGTGTTTAGAATCAGTGAAAGGGTTAGAGCCTGTTTAAGCTGGTGTGGTCAGCCTTACAGGTGGAAGCAGTGACTTCATTATGCGGGAATGGCTCACGGCCTAAGAGCACTAACAGTTGGACTGGATGGTTTCCTTTATCCTGGAGAGCCAAACAGCTGGTTAGGAACTATACTGACAAGTGTCAAAGCTGTCTTACACTCCTAAGCAGTCACTGATTAAATTCAGAGTTTCGGTCCAATATTTCGACTTTAATAGAAGGCAGCACTTTTGGTTTGGTAACAAATGGGAAGGCTGGGCAAAAAGCAAGCCAAATCAGTCCATTAACCAAACACGATACATACAGAGCACAGAGGCTCCCTTGTGTTTCACACACAAAACATGCAGCCAAAATAAATGACACCGGGTCACTTAGATCTATATCCATCTCTCTCAATTGGCAGGCCAAGAGGAAAAGATGAACATGTCTGGGGAATGTTTTTGGAAATTAGGCATTCCTTTCAGGGAAAACTGATCTAAAGCTAAACATTCCTTCTACGTGTGCGTGTTCGCCCTTTAAAATCCTAAATCCCTCTCATTATTCGTATTGTGATTGGTCCTACTTTTAATTTCAATTTCCAAATGCTCGTGTTTTAAGCGTATACTCTGTGTGGTCTCGAGCAGAAGTTAACATTCCACACATTTTGCTATGAAATAGAAATTTAAGTGCTGTGACCTCTTGGGGAATCGCAGGAGAGACATTTACTTCCCAATAATCTTATCCAGTCCCCATCTTCCGCAGTCCACAGAGACTATCTAAAGGCGCATTAACGATGCCTGTGCTTACAGCACCACAGAGAACTGGGACGCGTCAGCTTCTGAGGCTCTGGGATTCGGCAGCTATTGCCAGGGTAGGAGAAAGACGAACAGTGTGCTGGGCCCTTAAGTATAGAGAGCAAAGGGCAGAGGGTCCAGCTCCATCGGAATAAGAATTGGAGGCATTAAGCTAAGCAGTGATCTCGGGAATTGGGAGAGCCAAGAAAGAGTGGGAGAGGACAGAATTCAACTGTTTGCACATAAGGAATCACCAAATCTTAAGTTGGAAAGAGGATACTTTCCATGATTTGATCTCATCATGCCAAACCGGATCTTTCATTTATAAACAAAGATGGTGGGGGTAGAGGAAGCAAGTTCCTGCTAATAAAAATAACTAAAGAGGGGGAGAGATGTCGCAGAAAGTCGTTAAGGCTACAAGCCTATGATGAAGGATGACGTCCTACTGAATGCTTACTATGGCTCTCTAAACTGCCTTGTTTCCATCACAGTATATAAAAGTGATGTCAGAAAATCAGTGATCGGGCTACTGCCAAACCATGATCTCGTTCTCGTTATACACCAGCAATAATACACAGCTCAACGGTCTCAGCCTAATGAAAAACTGTAGGATTTTACAAGCTTCTAACTATAAATTTAGCTATTCAGGAGGAAAAGCTTTGAGGGCTGTATTAAGAATTTAGAATAAACTATTGTAGGACTGCAAATTTAGGTGTATGGCACACTGCCAACATCCTGAACTGAGAGATCTGTAACACACGCCAGGAAGTCCGAGGTGAGTCTGGAGAGTAGCACCTGTGTCTGCAGGACACCAGCACTATTCGTGGACCTCCTCAGGACCATTCGAATATGACTGCATTCGGGAAACTCATTGCTTTATAGTATTTGGTGCTTTTGGTCATCACTATGTCTTCCCACACCCACTACACACACACACACACACACACACACACGCACGCTAAAAGGACACAAAGAGGTATACTGGAGAATTAGGATATATTTGGACCCATCAAAACTTCAAGGTGACTCTTTCAGCCCAGATTCAATAAAAGCCATATGGCATCTAGTGGACCCTTGTTTTAAAAAGCTGGTCTATGGCTCAGATATTACACAATACCACAGAATGTCAATAGCCCCAATCCTTCACTTGTACATCAAGCTACTTGACTTGGCCTCTGGAAAATCATATTGACTAAATTTTCTTCACTGTGATGGGAAAAAAAGGCAATA